AACTCGAAATCGCTTGCGCAACCCATCGTGCTCTCTCTCTCTCTCTCTCGTTTTTGTTATTTCTTTCTATATTTGTTTTCTCTCTATATATATGTATATATATATATATATCTCTTTCTCTCGCCGCTCGGTAGCGCGCGTAGCTGACGAGACCCCGGTGCATCCTGCCTTGCGCTAATCAAGCAGAATATCATTAGAGCCCTCTGGAAGCACGTGGGTCTCGGGAACCACTATAATGTCTGCGCGGTGCCGTTGAGCGAGCGACCTGGCCGCTGGCCCCCAGCCTCCCAGGTTGCGCGCGCATAGCTTCCTGATGCTCGAACCTGGAAAGCCTGGAAGACCCAGCTCCTGACCTCGAGGCGGGCGCGCACGAGTCTCCAGCCCACCTCGCTGAGGCCCAGCTTCGCCGCAGGCCTGGGGCCCCTGCTTCCCCGCGACCTCCACCAACTCGGTCATGGTCCTGCTGGGCCTGCCTCTCGCGCGCGTCTCCTCCGAATGGCACTCCGGGGCCGCCTCGGGCGCCCGCGGGGAAGAGGTCGCAACGCCAGCAGCTCCCCGCATCGAGGCGGGCCTGCCCCACTCGCCGTTTACCCCTTGGGCGCGCCTGAGGGGCAGGCTCCAGAAAACAACGTGGCGACTGAGCCCAGCCCCTCGCGCTGTTTACCTCATGGGCGCACCTGGGGGCTGGGGCTTGCGTTCTAACAACCGAAGGTCACGACGATGCTGTCGCCGCGCTCGTCGAGCCAACGCCCGCGCCGGCGCCGTCGCCCGCCGCTTGGCCGCGCGCCGCCGCGGCGGCCGCGCGGGCGTGTCCACCAGCATCCTTCGGACAGGCCGAACTTGACAAGGCACGCGGCGGGAGTGGCTCGACCCCCCCAACCTCCATCCTCAGGTGGCCCGCCAAGGTTAGGGGCGGGCCGATGGGCTAAAGGCGCAGCTCTGAGGCAGCCGCCGCCGCTGCAGCCCGCGCCGCGGCCAGGAGCGCCTCGGCGCCCTGCTGCAGCTTGGACTTGACCGCCTCGGCCGCGGCCTCCGTCACGGGATCCGCCTTGGCCGCAGCGCCGCTGCTTGCCGCGGCGCCCGCGGCCTCGACCACCGCCGCAGGGGGGGGGGGGGGGGGCAGCAGCCGCGGCAGGGGCAGCAGCGCCTGTGCCCACTCCATCGCCAGCACCACTCGCATCCCCCGGTGCCCCTGCCTCCCCTGCTGCTGGGGCGGACGCGCCTGTAGGTGCAAGCGAGGGCGACGAGTGGCGTCGTTCTTCGCAATCTTCTCTTTCATGTTGGAGAAGGGCTCACAGTGCTCGCGCAGCTTGTCCTGCATGCCGCCGAAGGTGGTCTTGAGCGTCTCCAGGAGCGCCCCCATGACCAGCTTCTTGCGGCGCTCCAACTCCTCTAGGTCAGCTGCGTCCATGACTCCGCCAGAATTGTCGAAAGCAGGGCCCAAGTTCAACGTGAACATGGACTCCGTGGGCTCACTGCCCCCCGGCAGCGAGCTGAGATCGATCCCGGTTCCTGTCGGAGGCGCCTCCTGACCCTTCGCGGGCGGCACAACCTTCTGAATGACCTCGGCGCGCTCCTTCTCCGCCAGCGCAAGCGCCGTGGCCGCCTCCGAGAGGGAGCACTTGCACTTCTCGGGCTCCAGCGATAGGCGCACCTGCTGCGCGCGGGTCTTGTCGAAGGAGACCTGCGCCCGCTGGACCTTGGCCGTCACCTTGGCGACGCGCTGCGTCAGTGGGCCCCCCCCAGCGCCGCGCGCCGCCTTCGTCCCATCCTTGGTCGCATCCAGGAGGCTCTGCGCAGCCCTGGCCTGCTCGCTGCCTGGCTGCGCCTTGACGAGCTCCAGCAACTGGCCTCTCATGGCCATGCCAACTCCTGCTGCACCAGTGCCCGCATTGCCATCAGCCTGAGCAGGAGGCGCCTTGCTGAAGGGCGCACCACACAGACAAAGGTTACCATACAGCTCCAACTTCGACACCCATGCCCACCGCGGGCACGCACTGCACATCACTTTGCGTTCGGCCTTGCCTCCTTTGCCCGCTCCTTTGGTGCGTCGCCTCGGCGCGCCAGTTGGTGGCGGCGGCGGCACACCTCCAGAGCGGCCATGTCGGCTGGCTCGGCCATGGCGGTTGCCCCAAGATAGGACTTGTCGGCGGCACCGCTGCCGCCTTCGCCCCCTTGCCACCCCCCCTTCTGCGGACCGACATGGAGGGGCGGCCATTATTGGTCCATGTCCTGGGCTTTGCGCCGATCGCGAGCTCTCTTTCCTTTACCCATGTTTGCACCGACTTTTCGTTATCTTCCGTCCTGAACTCAGGACCTCAGATCCCAACCGATACCGCGTGGAGATTGTCGGTGGCCCAAAACGCCCCGCCGCGCCCTCTCGGCGCCGCAAGGGGTCGGGGCCAAAACGGCTGGAGTAGGAGGAAGAGGAGAGGGGGGAGGAGGAGGAGGAGGAGGAGGAGGAGGAGGAGCAGGAGGAGAAGGGGGAGAAGGAGGAGGAGAGAGAGAAGGAGGAGGAGGAGGAGGAGGGGGAGGACTTCTGAAGAAGAAAAAAATACTTCTCAAGAAGAATCAGCTGGGGTTGGTCCCAAGTGAGCCAAGATTGGGACCAAACAGCCAGGAGTGGCCCTAGTAAGCCGTAATTGGTACCAATCCCGTTTCGAACCCCTACCCCCCCCCCGCGACGGGAGGGGGTCCGAACCCCCCTCCCCCGCCTCCAAGCGCCCACAGAACGCGCTCATTCTAATGGTGGAGACCCCACCCCCTCCACACACGAATCATTGCCTGTCCAATTGACGCCTAATGCTCGAGGGCCCATGGCCCGCAAACTAAGACAGAATCCTGGAGCGGAGCCCTTACAAGGAAAAAATAAGGAGGGGGGGGAAATGGCGGGGAAGGGTGACCACGTAGAGCCTACGACACCTTGTGTGCGACAGGCACTGGTCATGACCACGTGGGGCGGAGCTAAACACTAGCATCATACTTTGAAGGCGCCCAAATTCATACTTCTGAACACGTCGCCCTCCCAAGGAATCAATCAACACCAGTATTTAAACTACTTGAGGTGGACACTGTTTCTGCCCCGGACGACAGACACATTAACCACGTGCACCCCCAGGGGCAATCAGATAACCTAAAGCTAACAGAGCGGATGTGGATAGAAACCGGCCTCAATATTCATTCTAGCGCAGACGCAACAGCAACAACGCGAGCGATTGGCGACGTATATCGGAGGATCGACGGGGAATTGCTGTGAAGGCGTAAGTGGAAGATGTTTGTTTACGCTAGGGCTTGAAGCATATAGACAGAGCACTGACCAGATAAAAATGGATGGGCTGGGATTCGCGAGGCTCCTCTCGAGGGCCGATGGAGTGCGAATACATGTCAGCGGCCAAGAGACACCTGCGGCGCCTTGGGGTAATCAAGATGGTGCCCTCAAATTAGTCGGGCGTCGCTGATGCCCCAATGACGTGGGTGTGGTCTGGTGCTCCATGCAGCCGAGCTGTTGAATCAAAACGTGGACGCTCAACTTACTAAATTGACCTCGTTGTTTCTTGCAGGATGGTCCGCGAGAGTGGCAGACGACGAAGTCTCCATGTGCTCACTCATTGGATGTCACCACAACATACATGAACAAAGACACTTGCGACAAACGATGGTAGAAAGTCTTGCGTTGTGCTCTGCAATCGTTGATTTGATTGCACGGGCCACCACGTCCATGAGAGTGTCCGGCGTGTCCCGAATTGCTGCCTAGACGACTTTGAACAACGCCACGCGACGTGCTCCTCGACTGGAATCGAAGGTCCTCGTGTTGCCCGCGTCGCTGCTGCCTGGGCGGCCTCGTCTGTCGGCGGATTGGCATCACAGCGAGATCCCCGTCCTCGATACCAGCTGGGCGGCGCACCGTCGTCTGGCCGGCATCCTGACGGGCTCGAGCAGCGTCTGGTCGGAGGCCCGCACCGTGAGTTCCACCAGTAGGTGCCGATGCGGTGGGCGCTCAGGGCATGGGGATGGCCTTGAGCCCGCACACGTGTCACACGTGTCACACGCAAGACGCACAGAATCGAACTCGGATGGTGGCACACGAACCTAATGAAGATCACGGACTTTGGAATGCACGCGAAGAGGCGGGACACGGCTCAACACGGAAGACGCGCCGTGGACTTCATTAGCAAGTGATATTCCCAAGGGGACGGCTGCTAAAAATGGGCCCGGAAACGCGACCAACACAGAACGGTTTGGTATTTTCCAACATGAAACAAAAAACTCAACCACTCCCGGAAAGGGGTTGGAAAAATTACATACGGCACCCCCTTTTCCAACAATGAACGGTTTCGCCGGTTTGGCCGGGGACATCCCGCGAAAAATTACCCACGGCACTCCCGCCCCAAAATGGTTCATTTTGGCGGCGCAGTTTTTGTAGCCGTGCCCCCAAGAATACAGTTCATGAGTCATCGCAGTCAACTGACAAAGACTGGTCGACTAGGGCGCCACACCTCTGGAGTGCCAGTGCTGGGAAGCCAGAGCGCTGGGATGCCAGAGCGACGGAAGGCCGGAGTGCTGGGGGCACCCGGGCGCAGAGAAAGCCAAGGCGCTGGAGCGCCTGCCTGCCAGGGCCAGGGCAGGAGATGCTTGAAGGCTGGAGCGTCAGCAGTGCCTTAAGTACGGCGGCGACGCACGGGTGCTGGAGCGCATAGGTTGCAGGAGTGGGGGGCTGGGTGGTGCAGGCACTGACGACAGACAGCTGTCCTGGAGTGGATCGCGCGCACCCGATTTGAGAAAGACCTGCGTGAGCGGGCCCCAACATGAGCCGCTGGACTCTTGCGAGGATGGCCTCGCAACTGAAGTGGGACGCCTGGATGACCATACGCTGTCTCTCGCAGTTACCACGCCTCGCATGGACCCCTGGGATGAAGCGTAATGCATCCTTACTGACGAGTGCAGGAAAATGGGAACCTGGACCAGCCTCTTCCCGAGCAGCCAAGGGCTACGCAGAGGAAACTCGGGCCACGCGGGCCTGTGGAGCAAGGTCTGGTGAAGCCTCCCCGTCGTGGGGCTTTCAACAAAAAAAACGGCCCACACACACCAACTGGACCCCTCCACCCTGGTGCGGGCAGCGCGCCAGGGGCGGCGCCGGAACCGCCGCCAAGGCGGCCCAGCGCCGATCCGAGAAATTCGCGCGGGGCTCCGGCAGCTTACGCTCGTGCCGCTGTTGCTTCTCTGGCCCGAGGCGGCCCCGCCCGCGCCCGGGCGTCGGAGCCTCGTCCATCTGATCCTCGACGCAAGCCACTGCGGTCATGACCTGTTGCGGGGCGGAGGTGCGTCCTCGTCCGCCCCTCACCCTCCCCTGCAGAGGGGGAAAGGGAAACGAATTGGAGGGAGGGACCGAGACATCCGACGCTTTTCGAGCAGGGGATCGACTACACAATTGATTTACCCCGAACTTGCTTTCCTCGTCGAATATACAAGAGGCAGTACGTAGCATGTTCATGGATTCGGCGAACAAGCAAGCTTCGGGTACATCAAGTGTGTAGTAGATGCCATACTCGAGCTTTGAAGAGAAAAAGACGCAAGCTTGTCATCGTTTCAGGCACCTGGGGACCCTCGCCAGGCTCAGAGACCGTCAAAACAACGACTCAGGCCGCAGAGCTGGCCCTGGGGCCCTGGGGGAAGGCCAGCTACACATAAGAATGAACCTAGGCAAGAGTGGCCTCTGGTGGGCTACTTTCGGGGGCCGCGGGGAGCGCGCTAGCCGCTGCTATCGCATCGCGTTCAGCCATCTGGGGACCCCCGTGTGCCCGCACCAGAGATCACTCCGGCGGAAGGTCACCCCTATGCATGGCTGCAAAGCGTCGGGACTTCCGGAGGCTCCGCAGTGAAACAACCAAGACGTCGTGCGCCCCAGAGGCGCCGCTGCGGACAGAGTCTGTGAAGACGCGCCCGGTTCACGAGGCGTGCGCCTCTGGCAGCTCACACCCCACGCCGTCTGACCCCTGCGAGGGCGAGGAGGACCATCTCGACCAGCTCGCACGCAGCAGCTGAGCTCCAAGCGCACGGTTACCCCATGGCCAGTCGATGGGTGGCCAGGGCGACAGGAGGGCGTCCGCCTTCAGATGCAAACGCGTGCTCTCTGTCTCTCTTTTTTCTCTATCTCTCTCTCACACACTTTCTCTTTCTCTCTGCATGTGTACATACATGTATACACATGCAGTCGATGCGGGAGGCATCATCGGCAAATCTACAACAGCACGATTGGGCGACTGCGCCAGGCATGAAGCGCGCTGGCAATCGTGCCCCCAGCATGCTCTCATCACCATCAAGCCGAAACTGCGCCACAAACACGGACGTGCTGGCGTGCATCGTGTGTGTGTGTGTGCGTGTGTGTGTGTGTGTGTGTGTGTGTGTGTGCGTGTGTGTGTGCGCGGATGTGCGCGAGGGTGTGTGCGTATCTTGCGAGCCACCGACAGCAAACCGTCGGCGCGTCGGAGAAAACACACATTGTGTGTAACGGCGAAGGTCGACATGGCCTCCCTGTATCCCCCGGCCAGATCCTGGTCTGGGGATCGACTCGCCGCCCCCGCCAAAGCCGAAGTCCGCATGCCCTCCTCTGGGTGGCTGCCGCGGCTCCGCTCGGGCGCCCCGCCCGACGGCGACGCAGCCGCCTCCCGCGCACACCGCTGGGCGTCGCTTAAATGAGGGGGGATGGGGAGGGTGTCGGAGAGAACGGGACACTTTTCGGGGCCGAGAGGGCCCCGCCCATCTCCGTCGTGATGCGCGCCGCTGAGTGCCCCCCGGGGTGCATTGGCTGGACCTTTCGACAGGGGGGTACAGACTCGAAGTGTCACCGCTGGGGGTGTCGAGGCCTCCTTTGCGGGGGTCAGCGCCGCCTCCAGGTCTGGCCCCAAGGTCATCCAACATCGCGGCAGGTCCACCGCGCCAGAGAGCGGCGCAGCCCGCCCTCCCCCACGCACCCCCGCCGCCCCCCACCGCCAAGCATCAGCACGGCCCACGGCCCACGAACTCTGCTCCCGCGCACGGAGGCCGAGCAGGAGGACGAGGAGGAGGAGGAGGAGGAGGAGGAGGAGGAGGACGAGGAGGGGTAGGAGGAGGAGGAGGAGGAGGAGGAGGAGGAGGAGGAGGAGGAGGATGAGGAGGAAAAAGACGAGGAGGAAGAGGAGGACGACGACGAGGAGGATCCGTGCCTGGCCCTCGGCTGGCAGCGGCGCGGCTCCCGAGATCCGCCCCCGCATCCTGCCCCACGCCGCCACCGCCAGCTCCACGAGCTCCGCCACCGTTCGCTCCGCCACCGCGAGCAAGCCCTGGCTCCATGCCGGTGGCCCCCCCCAGAAGCTGGCCAGCGCATCCCGCCACCACGCCTCCCCTGGCCCTCCCACGCCCAGCGAGGCGCAGCGCGACTTTTGGCGGCCCAGGTCTCCGCATGGCTCAGCGAGGAGCGGACGGGCGGGCGCCGCCTATACTCGCATGCAGTGGCGCCTCTGGCTGGTGAAGGATGCGAGCGCTACCCCACCAGTGCCCAGCCTGCCCCCAGCGACTTCTCAGCCGAGTTCCTCAGCCAATTTGCCGACACTCACTACTCAAGTTTCGCGGTGGACAAACCTCCCTTTAGTAAACCTCCCCTTGATGGAAACGGCCTGGGACCGAAACCGACGGACCTGGACCCGCAAAAATGACGGCCGCGACGCCCTCTCGCGAACCGAAAACGGCCAATCCGCTGATCGACGTGTCAGGGGAGGACGTCTGTCCACCCCCGAGAGTTCCTCCATGGCGCACCTTCTCTGGCCCCCTCCTGTGCCAGCTCCGCTGGTCCGGCCGAGGAGCCTGCTCCTCCCCGCAAGCGGCCCGCCTCTCGTGGTGGGCCTGTTTTCCACCACCACCACCACCATAAGTTGGAGAGGGGAAGGAGGTGGAGGCTGAGGAGGGGGAAGAAGAGGAGGAGTTGGAGGAGGACCCCCTCCCCCTCCTACTCATGGTGGTGGCGGTGGAAAACAGGCCCACCACGAGCAGGAGGGGGAGGGGGTCCTCCTCCAACTCCTCCTCCTCTCGCTCCTCCTCCTCAGCCTCCACCTCCTTCCCCTCTCCATCTTATGGTGGTGGGAGGAGGAGGAGGAGGAGGAGGAGGAGGAGGAGGAGGAGGAGGAGGAGTGGAAAGCAGGCCCATCATCTCGCCCCACTGGCGGGCGCGCGGCCTGCGCGCGCGGCACGAGGCCCACGGGCCGCGCCGCCCTCCCGCGGGCCTCTGCCCCGCAGCGTCCGGCCCGGGCGCTCTGCGCTGCGCCGTCTCTCTCGCCCCGTCGCCTGCCCCCTTGGCGTGGCGCAGCCCTTCGCTCCTCCTCGGCTCCTCGCCTCGTGCTGCCGATTGGCGTGGCACCGCGTCTCGCTCGGCCTCTGCCCCTTGGCGTGGCACCGTGTCTCGCTCCTCAGCTGCTCCTCGCCTCGTGCTGCCGATCGGGCAGGGCCCGCCTCCCCCCTGCCGGCCCACACCCGGATGACTGATGTCGGCAGGCGCTTCGGATACTTGGCGATTCGTGAATGCCCGGCCGCGACCGCGTGCTCAGTGCTTCTACTTTTTCCGCCTCGTCGCCGCGCGCGAGGCCGCTGCCGCACAAGGTGTGTGTGTGTGTATGCTCAGCGTTTTTGTATGGCCGCTGCATGTTGGCTTGGCAGCGCCAATCGTTTTTCTACCACGCCACCTTCTGCATGGCCATGGCTGGGCTGTTCCATCATGGCGCGTGTAACTACGTTCGTTCGACATTGGCACCTACACCTGTCGACCGCGCCTGAGGTTCATCTGCGCGGCAGACTTACAAGTGTGTGTGTGTGTGTGTGTGTGTGCGGAGGTCTTCCCTTATAGAGTCATGCAGCCTACATTGCATCGAAACCAACAAATTTGACTGTAAGCCAGCCGAGCTGGAGCTAGAATCACCCTGGCTGCCGATAGCGTGTTCGCGAAATTCCGCCTTGCAAGACACCAGCCCGAATCTATGCTACCAAACATCTCGCCCTCCTCAATTTTCGCTATCTTTACTGGCTTCATGGTGTCGTCTTCTCCTGGCACGTCCCCCAGAGACAACCCGTGGAGGAGCGAAGTCGCAATTACCGATGTCCTCCTTGGTGGTGGCCGGTGGAAGCAGCAATAGCCTTAATAGTGCCATGTCGAGGGGCGCAGACGTCGGCAACATAGCGCAATAATCAAAACAGTCACACGTAGCAGCAAAGTCGCCATACATCCCTCGGAATGTTATCAACCACGACTGCGGCGATGCCACTGCCACATCAACTTCGTGGCAACGACACATTGCACTGTCATCGGTGTTGCTGGCAGTCAGTCTGGCATCCAGCCCGACTCAGCGCTCCGCTAGCTGCTTCCAACGTTGCCGAAGCCTGGCGCTGATAGCCAGTTCGCGCACATCGGCACCAACTATCAGGCACCGCACGCACGCCCCACGTGCGTCACGAGCGCATTGAATGTCCCATCTCTGGTGCGCGACAGTGTTGGCCGTACTGCTGAGGTAGTCGTAGTGAGGGTGCCCTACCCTGCACAACAATACGTTCTGCAAGTGCGGCCGTCGAGTGCACAGCATACGAAACCCGTGACAGGCTATCTCAGCGCATTCCAGGAAGCCAGGGCTGCACGCAGTGGAGAGAATACATGAAAGGATAACACGGGACACGGTATCAATCAATAGTTCAATGGACCCGTAGTTCAACCTGAGCGCCCTAGATGTTGAAGCTGTCTGGGCGCAAGGGCCCTGAGCAAGATCGATCCAGAACCCTCCGGATAACGTGCTGTCCAAGAACCAGAAACTGATCCACACTTCACCTTAGACTCGACGGTTACCGATACCCTCCACCTCTCCTCCACAAATACGCCTGAAGATAATTTGACAGGGGCGACGTTCTTAACACCTTCTCCCGACTCCCTCCTCCCGTCCCTCCACCGAATGCGCCGAATAGAATTGAAAAATGCGCACGGCTCGTGCCATCAGGCCTCTGTGCATTCGCAGGCCCTTCCCTTCACCAACGTGGGTTTAAGCCCTTGATCGATGCAAGTGGGTAATTTGAATGTCAATATTCGTCCCCCTGGTCCTCCACCGAACTGACTTTATCATTGATGAGTCTTCCAATTGTGTGTCCATTCGCTTGCTCAACCGTCCGTGCTCTCCCTGGGGGCAGACCTTCTGAAACTCGGCCACCGACGCCTTCCTGTCCAACGACTTCAGGAGGATGGACACGGTGATCGTGTTGGGAGCCACCTCGCTGACTCACGGCGCAAAGCAAATCCAATGATTATCCTGGCGACGTGGCCATGCGGCTGACTTGCACGTAGGGCGCAAGTTCTTGACGCAGGCGGCGCTCGGAGACGTGATGACGGGGAGCCCAATATGTTTCTCGCCCTCCTACTTGACCTCCCCCTCCTCCTCCTCCTCCTCCTTCTCCTCCTCCTCCTCCTCGTCCTCGTCCTCCTCCTCCTCCTCCTCCTCCTCCTCCTCTCCTCTTCCTCCTCTCCTCCTCCTCCTCCTCCTCCTCCTCCTCCTCCTCCTCCTCCTCCTCCTCTCCCTCCTCCTCGTCCTCCTCCTCCGCGTCCTCCTCCTCCTCCTGCCGAGGCGGCGGCTCCGGCATCCCTCCTGGTCCGGTGCCTTGAGCGCGTTTCTTTATCATCGGCGATGACGGGCGCTGTGGGGGGAAGGGGGGGGATGGGCGGGGGGACGGTCTGACGTAACGCCCCCCCCCCCGCCGTGCGGCTCCGGCACCGCAGCCGCGCCCGCGAGCACGACGACGATGAGCGACGCGAGCGACGAGCGACGAGCGACGAGCGACGACGACGACGACGATGCGAGCAGCGTGTAGGTGGCGATCTGCCCCACAGCGCCTGTGTACACCACAGTGCTCGCGTGCACCACAGCGCTTGTGTACATCACAACGCCTGCGTACACCGCAACAACCGTTTTTTTTTTTTGTTGTTTTCTGTTTTTTGCCTGCGCGGCGAGCAAGCGGGGAGGCTCCAGGAGTCAGCCCCCCCCCGTCTGTGTGGCGCCTCTCGCCCCCTCGGGCGGCACGACCTCCGCTCGGTGAAAAACCGAGAGCACGGCACCACGGCGAAGCTAAGCGGCCTGCGTTGAGGCCACCGAGCTCGAGAGGCCAGCCACCTCTCCAGCTGCAGCGTCAGGGAGGCGCGCGCCGCTGGTCGGGTGCACACCTCGGCGAATTCTATCGCCTCTGAGGCGGCGGATGCGGCCTGCATCACCCTCGTCTGGGGTGCACAGGCTCGAGAGCGCCTTGAAGGAGCCAAGGCGCTCGCGCGCGTACGCATTGCACCGATTGCACACGACGTAGCCGTGGCACCGCTGCAGCACATGCCCGAGCTCGTCGCGCGCAGTGGCAGGAGCGGCGGGCACAGCGGGAGCCGCACCCTCGGCAGGCACATCGGCGGATGCCAAAAGCGCGCGGGCTCCGCCGCGCTCGGCACGCACAGGAGGAGACCGCGACCTGTCGCCGCTGCCTCCGACGGCGCCAGCGCGAGAAGAGCTCGCCCTGCGCTCCCTCCATGCAGCCATGAGGAGGTCAGCGGCACTCGAAGGCTGGCTCTCGGCGGCGGCGGGCCTCTCAGTGGAGCCCGCGGCAGGCCCGCGAGGCCTGCGAGGCGCTCGGCGGGCGGGGCCGCTCGCGGCGGCGGCGCGGCTGGTGTCGCCGCCGTCGCCCTCGGCGCTCCTACCAACTCCGCGCCCTCCAGCTGCGGCATCCGCGATGGCGGCGGCCGCCAATGCGACGCCCGCAGCGGCGCTGGATGCGGGGGCCCGCTTGGCCCCTGAGGCCACCGCCTTGGGCTTGCAGGGGACCCTGAAGAGCTCCTGCTTGGACCTCTCCGCGCGCGCCGTCTTGAAGCACGCCTGGCAGTACCGCGAGCCGTCGGCCTGCGTCGCGAAGACGTGGCTCGTGAGGCTGAGGCCGACGCGGTTGCCGAGGTCGCGCTGCACGAAGCACTGGGCGCTGTCGTCCCTGGCGGCGCCTGCTGGCGTGCCGGCCTTGGCCAACCAGCGCGCGACTCCGTCCACCATGACGGCAGCCTGCTTGCACCTCAACCTCGTGTCAGAAGGGGGCCCAAGCGCCGCGGCGATACCACCTGCCACGTGGTCCGCCTCGAAGTTGCCGCGCCTCTGCTTGCGCGTGATAGCGCCCTCCCGAACTTGGCGATGGGTCGCATGGCCAGGCACCTTGACCACCGTGAGGCCGTGGTCCGAGAGGCCGCCGAAGTCGTCGAGGGCCGCCCACACCAGCCGCCACAGGTGCCCCCACGCGGAGGACGCGAGGGTGGTGCGCTCGGCACCACGGAGGTTGACGCCGTCCACCACGTAGCTGGCGTCGCAGTGCAGGACGATGGGCGGGATGGAGTGCCGCAGTACGATGAGCACCGACAGCAGCTCCGAGCCATCGATGCTCTGCCACGGGCCGACGAGCGGCGACCCGAGGGCTTTGGTCCTGCTGCCAGGACCTGGGTCGGTACTGTCGCTGACGGGCGGCAGCTCGACCACCGCCGCCGCGCCTTGGGCGCCCCGCCCGCCAGCAAGTGCGGCGCCGTGCAGGGCGCCGTCGCAGTACAGAGGCTGGCCGCAGAAGGGCTCGCCTGGCACGCCGCAGCACCAGCGCAGATGGCCCAGGAAGCCGCCTGCAGGAGGCCGCCACTGCAGCCAAGGGATCGGGAAGAGCAGCCTCTCGACGAGGAGCCTGATCACCTGGTTGTCGCGCTGCGCCAGCAGGAGCGCCATCTCCCGCGGCAAGTCGCCTCCATCAGGTAGACGAGTGAGGGCCTGGCACTCCAGATGTCTGTGCCGGAGGTCGCCCCGCTGCCCTGGGCAGAGCTCGCAGAAGTCCGAGGAGGCATACCTCGGGTTGTTGCCGAACTTCCTGACGTTGGTCCACTGGCCGTTCACGATGCACGACCTGAGGTAGCCGCGCTCCTCGTTGGTGGCGGTGGGCCAGCTCTTGCCAGCCTTCGAGGAGGGCCGTCCTCGATCGACCCACTTCCGCAGCTGCCCGAAGTTGATGCCGACGGCCAGCCGCGGGGCGTCGTGCTCGCTCAGCTGGCGGGCCTGCCAATCCTCGCAGCTGCGCCGAAGAAGCTTCTTGGTCAGCCACGGGCTGGTGTCGCCGATGCAGTGGACGTCACCCGCGTCGGAGGTCCACTTGTCCAGCTGCTCGCACTGCCAGCCGACGCGCCGCAGGGAGAGGACGGCGGCGGAGATGGGCCCGCGGGCCTGACTCCACTGGCCGACATGGCGGACTGCAGCCGCAAAGGCCGTCTCCAGCGCCTTCCTGGGCAGCCACTGCTCCCAGACGGCGCGGTGCAACGTGCTGATGGGGTCGAGCGTGGCCTTGACGACGGGGTCGCAGTCGGCTCCGACGAGGGCCAAGACCGCGGTGGCGCTCTTGCCCGCGGGCCGCAGCTCGACGGCCTTCACGGCCATGGTTCTGGCCTGCTGGAGCTCAGCGTCGCTCAAGCCCGTGCAGCAGACCCCGTAGGCGTAGCTGGCCTCCAGCCCCTGCTTCGCCACCCGGGCTGCGATCCTGCGGCGGCGCGCGGGGCCGAGGAGGCGACGAAGCCTCGGCACGCGCCGCGAGGCCTGCTTGACCCGCCCTTTGCGCACGCTCCTGGACATCTTGGCGCCGACGGCGAAGTCCACGCCCAGGTTGCGAACTCCGCGAGCCGCGCGCGCCTTGGTAGACGCGGCCAACCTGCTCTCGAGGTCCTTGGCCAGCTGCGGCGAGTCGGCGAGGAGCACCGACTTCTTGGTAGCCACGAAGATGTCCACCTTGCGCAGCTCCTTGACCACGCTGGTGACGCTGGCCACGATGGAGTCGGCCACCCGCTTGCCGCCTCCGACCCGCTGGAAGACGAGGTCGTCGACGGCGACCGACGGCACGATGCTCGGCGACGCACGGACCGTGCGGTCGAGCGGCGTGAGCAGGACCAGCTTCATGAACGTGGTGGCCCACATGTCGCCCGCCAGGACCGTCTGGTTCGCCTCGATGAAGTCCGAGACGGCTCCGCGGAGCTCGAGGGCCCGCGGAGCCCGATAAAAATATAAATCTGGAGCTTGACGACCCAGAGAGGGAAGTCGTGCTCGGCCGCCGAATTGATGAGGTGCTGGTGCCCGATCTGCTCGAACGCCTTCCAGAGGTCGAGCACCACAGCCGTGTGCAACGCAGCGCCTTTGTACACCACAGTGCTTTCGTGCACCACAACGCCGGTGTACACCACAGCGAATGTGTACACCGCAGCAGCCATGTGCAACACAGCGCCTGTCTACACAACAATGCTCACGTGCACCGCAGCGCCTGTGCACACCACATCACCTGTCTACACCACAGCATCCGCGTGCAACGCAGCGCTGGCGTACACCAGAGTGCCTGCGTGCACAGAACAGGTAAAAGGAGCATGTCGGTGAGGATCTGCTGCGGACAATTAAACGCCACGCCAGGGAAGTGGGTGGATCTTAGCTGTTTCTTGGCGCCTGTTTCGAGCGGGTGGAGTCCCTTCCCCATAGGACGCACTGCTGCAAACGGTCGCACTAAGCAAAGGTCCGGAGCCAGACCCCCCCCTCCGCCCCATGTCGAAACGCCGAATAAGAAAACGCTCACTGGTGCGAATGCGTGCACACTGGTGACACGCAGCTTATCGTGCAATGACCACGGCATCCCCCCCCCACACGAGCTCAAACCAGGCGATGGGATGGATTCCAACATTCTACAACAGTGCCTGCACTTAGGGGTCTTGCTTCCTTCCCTTGTAAGGAACTAAACCCGTCCGCCGCCCTGGCGCCCCCGTTCCCTTCCGTCGCCGCCGCCCCGTTGCACGCATCCCCTCCCCCCTCATTGCATTGCAAGCGCATTGCGTTGCATTGCAATCGCATTGCACTGCATTGCAATCGCATTGCATTGCTTTGCATTGCTTTGCAATTGCATTACATTGCAAGTGCATGTCGTTGCATTAAAATCGAATCGCTGTGCATCGTATTGCATTGCATTGCATCGTTGCTCTGCATTGGTTTGCATTGCTTTGCGCTGCTTCGAATTGCCTTGCATTTCGTTACACGTTGCATTGCTTTGCATTCATTTGCGCTCGTCCGTGTTGCTTTGAACTGCGTTGCATTTCGTTGCAATGCGTTGCGTTGCTTTGCATTGCTTGGCATTGCCTTGTGTTGCTATCCACAAGATAGATTGTGCCACATGTGCTGCACCACCTAGGGTGTGCTACATTGATATTGTTTACCAGTAGAGATGAGGGTATGCCACCACCCCCGGCTTTACCGACACGCTCTGGGACACTGCAATTTACATATCATTATGCCCCATCGTTCGTTTTAGGTTCGAGCTCGTACCACAGACCAGTGATCGCCCCCCCTCATCCCTGCCAAATCATACAATGCGTGTGCACTCGTCTATCCAACAAATATTCATTTGCAAAAAAACAAAAACTAATTGCAACAACTGTGACACAATCCACACGCGTGCGCCGTCGCGGGCGCATGCCGGAATTCGCACAACACCTATTAGGGTTCGGAAAGAGTTCAACGTCCAGGTTCCCAAAAACATGCAAATATAGTAAGGTTTTGCAACATGGTTGTTAAACACGTCTGCGTGCGCGCTCTTGCGAAGTCGTAGGGGAAATATGTATTCTAATGCGACCAAGTGGGCCTCTCGCGCACGCATGCCGAAATCAATCGACCGCCCTTGCACACTTGCTGAGGGGCACGATCCTAGTGAAATAACACCATGCGGGCCACCCGCGCGCGTCGGCAGCGCGCGCATGTCGAAATCCAAAAAAGAAACCTTCATCACCGACGCGTGGATACCATCAATGCCATCGGCGTGACCAGCATCGGCGCCGTCATTGGCATCGTCCTCGGCATCGTCATCATGAAAACCACCATCATCGCTGCCATCATCATCGTTTCCACCGTTGTCGACGTCACAATGACACTGCGCCCGCCCGAATCACCGACTCACAGTGAGGTGCCTGCCCGCCAGCGTGGCCTGTGAGACGCGCTGGGACTTCCCCATCGGTCAGCGCCCGCGCGGCCGCGTCGGCTGTGCCAAACTAGCTTACCACTGTGCGCGCGAGCATGCGCGCGCCAGCGCGGCCGCAGGTTTGCGCCAGCCAGCACCAAGCACTCATCGCCATCGCCGCCACATTGGTTTTGCAAACCAAGCTACGGGTGGGTGGGTGGGACGACTGCGCGAGCAGTGGAGTTGGCACCTTCAAAAGTTCTTCGAACGTACTGCACCGCCTAGATTGCACCGCGTAGCTTGGGCGGACTCGTTGCTCGGGGCTAACGCTGACGAGCATTACTCCAGATCAAGCTGTGCTCATGCGTCACACGCACATGCCCCGACTCGCGTCAGACATGCGCCTGTCGGCGCGCAACCTCTGCTAACTTAAAGCGGCGCTTCGCGGCGAACCCAGAAAGCCTTGCACACCCACTTGATCGTATCTTTTTGCTAGCGGTGCATACTTCCCACTTGCAGGGGCAAGGACGCGCCGAATCCTCGCCCCTGACAATGAGCTCGTGCCCAAAATGAATTCATCACACAATCTATGCGCTTATCTGGCGACGTCGCTGATTACTGCAACCGCAGCCGCAACAAGTGAAACATAATGGAACAATGTGTGGCAGGATCTCATACTGAAGCGGTCACTTATGCGTCTGGCATTTTTTGCCCCATCCTCCTACTCCTCCTCCTCCTCCTCCTCCTCCTCCTCCTCCTCCTCCTCCTCCTCCTCATGTTTCCTCCTCTGGTTCACCCTCCTATCGCTCCCCAAATGGATGATTGGAGCGGCTCGTGTGGCGCTTCGCCGAGGGAGCTTGTTTCATACGTGCGCCTGTGCCTTCTCACCCACATACCGCCTAGGTGTCAGATGTGCCGGTCGTTCTCCACCTGACCCCCTGACCCCCCAACTCCCCCGCCTCCTCCCCCATCCCGTTCCTCATCCTGCTCCTTCCCGATTCCCTCCTCCGTCTCGCCATCCCCTCCATCATCTTCTCCTGTATGATGGGGAGTTCTGCGAAGCCTGGTCTACAGAACAAGGCGCCGATGATGCATCTGTGCGTGCTCGTGGAGGAAGGGAGCCGGTTATGGCTTTGAAGGCAAAGCTGGCAAGGGGAAGCGCTTGTCGCAGGTTCCCAGGAAGTTGGAGGTTTTGGGCTATGCGTGATACTTCGCAAGAGAGCGGAGACGCGGAGCACGAAGGGAGCCTTGTGACCCTCTCGACAGCATGCGCAGGGCTGAGAGGCAGGGGGGCGTCTCCTTGTGGCTCTGCATCTCGTCTACCAGCTCCCAGACGGCACGGCTGTTGTGCTGCCTGCCCCCCAGTTCCAGCCAGACCAAATCGTCAAATGCTTCTTGCAAGTCCTGTGCTCTCTGTTCCACGGTCGAGAAGCAGTGAGCACATGACATCAGATGCTGGTAGCGAGACCTGGCCTCAGGCACCCAACCATGTCTTCGGCTGCAGATCGCAAGAGGAGCTGAGAGAACAGGACCCTTCCTGCTTCCTGATGATGATGAGATGGTGCTGATGATGATGATGATGATGATGATGATGATGATGATGATGATGATGATGATGATGATGGTGATGGTGGTGATGACGATGACGATGATTAAGATGACGATAATGATGATGGTGATGATGATGATGACGATGATGATGATGGTGATGATGATGATGATGATGATGATGATGATGATGATGATGATGATGATGATGATGATGGCTTCCCCCGTGTGGGCGCTTGACGTATGCGTCGATGAGCTCGTTGAAGGTCACGACGTTGGGGTGCTGCCCGGTGCCGTACATGCCGGCCATCACCGTGCGAGCCTCGGAGCACGCGCGCGGGGAGGGAGCACGAGGAGGGCGAGAGGGGCCGAGTCTCGGGGACCGAGGACCTAACAGTGGATATGTCGACACGTCGTTCATTTCTAATCGTGCTCGTTTCTAATTGTGCTCGTTTCAAATTGTTCCTGGCCCCCGTGGCCAGGAATAGGCCTCGGATAGAATAATTAGAAACGACAGGATCTTGTCCCCCAAAAAATCAAAAAACTTTCGAATCATTAGAAATGAACAATGTGGACCCCTCTCCCAGGTTTTGGGAGGTTTTCGACTGGACCACAAATTTGGGGCCCAACCCTGGGATCTACGACGGGGGCGCGTCCATCCTCGACATGGGTGTGTGCGAATAGCCCCCTTGGGGTGTATCCCAGGGTTTCCCTCCTTTTCTGAGCGGCTGTGTTTTTCGTCGAAAAATCGGGGGTTGGGGGAGAACAATCAGCTCCGAGGATCGAGGGGGATCGCGGATTGGCGACCGCTAGAGATGCTCGAAGTGAGTGGATGATCACCCCTGAGATCCGACGTTGAGGAAAAAATGCAACATCGTGAACAACCACGAGCGGAGCCCCGGACCCCGTCTCTCTGCGTCACTTTTCGAGCTGTGCCGATCTGTGAGGGTCTCGGGGCCCGAGATGGGGCGAAAACGCCCGGTGCGAAAAGAGTGCAACGCCAGCATCTCAGGGAGAGAGTTCTGGGAATCAAGGGCCGACGTTCGAGGGGGGGGACCGAGGTTCGGGGGGCCGAAGGTCAGGGGGCAGCCGGGGATCGGGGACCGATGTTCAAAGGAGGATCGAGGCTCGAACGTCGAATGAACAGGTTTCGATGACGGAGATCCGATGTTGGAGGAGGATCGAATCGGCTGCACGTAAGGGTGACCCTAGGCAAGAGTGACCTTTGGTGCGCGGCTTAACGAGGGGGCGCGAGGGGGCCAAACCCAAGCGCGCAGGCCGCTGCTATCGCATCGCATTTAGTGTCCGGGGGGCCCCAGTGGGCCCACACCAAAATTCACTCTGGCGAAGGATCACTCTTACGTGTAGCCAATGATATCTGGAGGGGATCGAGGACCGAGCGGCGGTGTTCGAGAGAGGTCGAGGATCGATGACCGATGGGGGGTCGATGGTAAGGCACCGAAGATCCAGGGGATCGAGGTTCGGGACTCGAGGATCGACGAGGGTCGATGGCATAGGACCGATGCTCAAGTGGTGTGGAGAATCGAGGGCCCAGGGCATAGGAAAGACGTTCGAGAGGGGGATCGAGGTTCGGGGACCGAGGACCGACAAAGATAGGGGACCTAGAACCAATGCCTGAGATGGATCGAAGATCGAGAGCCGATGATTGAGGACAGACGCTCCAGGGGCATCGAGTTTCGGGGATTGACGGTCCATGAGCATCGGGGCTCGAGGGCCGATTTTCGAAGGGGTCGAAGACCGATGACCGACGACCGATGTTCGAGGGGGACCGCGCTCCCGGGACCGAGGGGGTCGGGGAACGAGGACCGATGTTTGGAGGGGGGGGGGCGAGGTTGGGGGATCGGGGGCGACCGGGGGCCGAAGGCCGATATTCGAGCACGATCGGGGATCGGGGACCGAGTCGGGATGTTCGAGGAATATCGGCGACCGAGGGCCGAGGTTCGAGGGGAATCGAGGATCGGGGACCGGTGAGGATCGGAGATCGAGGGCCGATGTTTCCGGGGGATCGGGGGTAGAAGACCGATGTTCATATGAGATTTAGGGTCTGTGGATCGAGATTCCGGGATCGATGATTAAGGAGGATCGAAAGGCCGAGGTCCGATGTTCGAGGGGGGTCGAGGATGGATGATTTAGGGCCGATGTTCGAGGTGGATCAAGCTTCGGGGATGGAGGCTCGAGGAGGATCGCTGATCGAGGGCGGAGGTTCGAGGGTGATCGGGGATCGAGAGCCGATGATCGAGGACGAGGTATTTGGAACCGAAGAGGATGGGGGATCGAGGACCGGTTTCCGATAAGGATCGAGGACCGAGAGCCGATATTCGAGGGAGATCGCGTTCGAGGTTCGAGGGTCGATGAGGATCGGGGGTCGAGGACGGATGACGATGTTCGAGGGGGATCGATTATCGGGAACCGAGGACGGATCACCGATGCTCGCGGGGCGAGATCTGAGGATCCAGGGCCGACCAGGACGAGGGACCGAGGACCGATGTTCGAAAAGGCTCAGGGATCGAGGATCAGGGACAGATGTTCGAGGAGCAGCGAGGTGCGAGGATCGAGGACCGAATGGGGGCCGGGGATCGAGGACCGATGCCTGAGGGGGATGCAGGATCGAGGGCCGAGGATCCGCCGCCGTGCCCCGAGGCGTGTCCTCCAAGCCTCCTCGAGAAAGCACACGCAAGCTTTTCGTGTTAGTCGACGCGCGAAACGCGGCCCGCGGTGATTGACCAACGAAGGGCCCCTAACCCTTTGGGAGGGGGACATCAGTTAGGAGGGCAAGGAACATGAGGGATAGGTTTTTTCTCCGCGGGCGCATCGAGCCTAAATCGCCCAGAATTATTGTCCCTAATGCGAAGGCAGGGTCCTCAGTGAGGCTACGTCTGCATCGTGTTATTAGGGTTAAGGGTTCCTTTAGCCGCACGGACGCGGGGTCCGATTCTTGCGCTTACAGTCGCCAATTTCGGCGCGAATCTCGAACAGCTGGGTCCTGGGGCGCCGCCGCGTCGCGGGAACCGCTTGCGTTTGACCTCGAGGAGGGATGCCACAGGTCTCGTGCTCCGTCCCCTGAGCCTCCGTCTTCGATCCCGCGGAGTCGTTACTCCAGGAGGGGCCTGGACCCCGGACTCGCGCGTCTCTTGGGGCTTGGCGCGTGCCCCCCGGGCCGTCTTTCCGCAAGACGTGCTCGGAGCCGAGACGGCCTCAGAACGGGGCGGGCGGGCCCCGAGACGCCTCCGGGGCGGTCCAAACGCCCAAGATAGCCTCCAGTCGGCCGAGCGCACGCCCAAGACGCACCAAGAGAGCTCCTCCAACAGGCACGCATCGCCCCATTCTCCCAGGGGAATGTGCATTTTTTGAGTACACGGCTTGGGTTTCACAGTGTCCAAGACGGCCCAACAGCGGCCCAGGAGGTTGCCCACGAGAGCCCCACGACGGCTCAAGAGGCGCCGAAAAATACTAAAAAGAGACCCAAGACGGCCTCAAGAGGGGGAGCCCGAACCGACAATTCGAACCTCGCGTCCCAAGACGCCCCCAGGAGGCCCCAGGAGGCCTCCAAGAGGCTCCCGAGAGGGCCCCGAGAGGGCCCCGAGAGGCCCCCAAGAGGCTCCCACGAGGCTCCCAAACGGCGCCAAAACTGCTCAAAAAGGGCTCCAAAATTGCCTCCACGAAGCCCCCGAGAGGCCCCCCGCGACATCCCAACGAACATCCTAGAGGCCTATGACCCACAACCCAGGCAGTGGACAGCGGGTTTATTTTGTGAGGGTGCGAGGCCGCTGGCTTAGTGTCTTGGAGCCCTGTTGGTGTTAAGGCTTCGGTATGACATACAGAAATCTATGCAACCAGCCTTGCGAAAATCCATACAGATTGTATTTCCAAGCCTTCCTGGGGGTCCTTTGGTGCTCTCATGGGCCGTCTTGGGACCCTTTTGAGCCGTCCCGGACCACTCTTGGCCTTTTGGACCCCTCAGGGGCCTCTCCTGAGCCGTCTTGGGGCTCTCTTTGGCAGTCTTGACGCCCATTTGGGCCTTCTTGGGGGCATCTTAGGGCGTCCTGGGGCGACATTGGGGGCCTCTTGGGCCGTCTGGGACACCGTTCAGACCAAAGAAGCTAATATGACAACAACGCGCATTTTCCTAAGGGCATGGGACCATTTCTGCATATTGGGGTCCCCTTGGGGGCCTCTTGGGGCATCTTGGGCAGTCTTGAAATCATATTGGGCCCTCTTTGAACGCTCATGGGCCGTCTTGGGGCCCTCTTGGGCCTCTCCGACGTGGTCTTGGAGGTATATTAGGCCTTGGGCCGTCTTGGGTGCCTCGTAAGCGCACTTGGGGCTGACTTGGACCGTCTTGGGCCGAAAATGGCCGAAATTTGGACCCTTGGACCATTAGATCTTGCACCGCGGCTGCCTACCCTCGGGGATCTTCTGACCCGGGTCAATCCACACCCAGGTCAGTCAGGCCTTGCAGAATCCTGCAAGATCCTGCACCCAAGCCCGGGTCAATGCGAAAGACCCTGCAAGATCCTGCAAGATCCTGCACCCAAACCCCAAACCCGGGTCAATGCGACCTTGGCCCTGCAGGGTCCTGCAAGATCGGGCGCTCTGGCTGACCCTCGTTTGCATTGACCCCCGTCTCGAGGCTCCCGATACACCCCCTTCTTATTTCTTCCGGCTGACGGAGAGCGGCGCTGCGCGCGCTTTCCGTCATCCGCCGCCCCCCTGTGTAAAGGGGCCCAGGGACACACAAATAAATACACACAAGTGACAGGATTCGCACTATTTTCCGAGTTTTTGTCTCCCCCCCTCCCACTGCCCCTATGTGCCCTTCTTTTCTGGGGAATCGGCGATCATTTGTGCTTGTGTGCTTCGTCCCTCCTGACCGTGGTCTTGCCACAAAAAGAAAGCCCACCCCTGGGGCTCAGGCCCGGCGCGCCGACCGCGCGGAGCAAGGCGCACAGCTCGCCGAGCCAAACACATCCCCATCGCCTCCAAGACAGCCCCCAAGGCGGCTCCACACGGCCTCCAGGTTCGCCCACAATGCAATCGGACTCGATTGGACAGGACACGCGAGGGGACACAAGACCCTTCCGAGGGCCACACTGCCACAGGAATGCAGGAAGCATGGGTCGCGAGACACAGGACACAAGGGTACCCTTGCTTTGGCAGGGCCGACCTACCAATCTGGGCCGTCTGTAGTCCAGCATGGCCTCCAAGATGGCCTCAGAAGTTCCAAGATGCCGCCAAGTCCGCCCAAGACGCCTGCCAGGCGGTCCACGAGGGCCCAAGAGGCCCCCAAGAGACGTCCAAAAC